ATCAAACGAAAAAATTCTACACAGTATACCACATGTTTTTCCAGCCTTCCTCCACTCCACCTTTACTCCCCTGACATACCTCCATCTCTATCGGGTTCTTCAGACAATCGTATTAATAGTATTATAATACCAGAAGGCAATGCCTGATCAAGGAACACTTTTTACTGCAGATTCAAGTTAGGATATGGATAGTTTGCACACATATATCGACATCTCATCACAATTCCCGGCAGCACACAGGCTAACGAATGGGACAGTCCGTAGTTAATACTCGGAGCACAGCAATTCGCTCCGTTCAGTTCAGTTTAGTTTGTACAACCATTAACCATGCATATTCGTGCGCCCGTTTTGGTTGCTGTCTTTTGGCTGCCCATTTGGATGAAGAATGGAAGACAGGAAGGTTGAAAGTAAGATCGAACAGAAAATGGAGAACTTCAGTGGTCTAAGGTTGCAAAGAAATTGAGAAGATTCACGAACACCACCGTCTACGACACTCAGTCATATCACTCACTGTCTCTAACAATCTGTTACGATTCCCCCCGAGGTCCAGAGCCAGGGGGCCTAACGGGACCTGTGTGACCCAGTACCCTCGTTAGGGATTTCATACCATCGTGCCAGGTCTCAGGTCGACCACTCTTGGCTTTATTCCACCCACTACCTGCCTCGGTAAACATCGCTCCCCGTGGCAACCTATCTGGTGACATGCGTAACACATGTCCCACCCACTGTGATCTATGGAGGTCGACCAGCTGCTTCAGTGGGTGACCGCGGTTACCTGAAAATTTGCGCCTGACCTCATCATCGCTCGTCCGGCTACCCCACCAGATTAGTGCAATGCTGCGTAGGCAGCGGTGCTCGAATACCGAAAGTCTAGCTTTTTCCTGTTTGCCTAATAGCCAAGTTTCTGCGCCGTATAGCAGAACTGGCCGAACTACCGCAGCATACACTCGACCCTTCACAGCCGAATGTCGCGACGGCGCCACAGATGTCTGAAGTTGGCAAATGTCAATCGAGCCTACTGTATGCGACCTGACACTTTAGCCGTCATGCGTCCATCGGGTGAGAATAGCTGCTCAAGTAACAAAACTTATCCACTCGCTCTATCACTAGGCCAGTTAGGGTGAGGCTGGGTGCTGGACCAACCCAGTCTTGAAGTAACATTTTACACATGGAAGGTGCAAAACACATAACGAACCTGGCTACACCAACACTCGAACTATCCAGGAGAGCTTGCAAGTTACCTGGATCTTCAATTAATAGCACAATGTCGTCCGCAGACTCTAGATCAGACAGTCTGCCACTTGGGAGTAAATCGATATAGCTATCCGCGTACGAGGAAAGGGCCGTTTCAAAAATTGAATCTATGACAAAGTTACATGGAACCGAAGAGAGAGGGCAATCCTATTGAAGACTACTATGTGTAGTGAACTGGAGCGAAAAAAGGCCATAAGCCCGGATTCGACTTCGGTTATCAGCATAAAGCCGTCATAATATTGAAATTAACTTCTCGGGCACTCCCTTCAGGTAAGGCAACGGTCGACTGAGTCGAAATCCGTTTTCAAATCGAGGGAAACAGAGACGGTGGGTCTACGAAAGGAATGTCAATGCTCCAGAATTCAGCGAAGAGTGAAAATGTGGCCGAAACAACCTCGACCAGGTTTAAAACCAGCCTGGTTCTCACGCATACACCGTTCACCTTCCGCAGACAATCGACGGAGTATGATGCCAGCGAGAAGTTTAGAAGCAGTGTTGATCAAAGTAATTACGGTTTTCACAAGAGGATCTGTCGCCTTTCTTGTAAATCGGTATGATGACCGATTTACATCATTCCGATGAAACCCATTCCCTTTCCCATGTTGAGCCCAGGATTTTCGTCAACTTTAAGACTAACGCTGGGCCTCCATCCTTAAACGCTCATGCAAACAGCCCAACTGGACTTGAGGCCTTATGCCTTTTGAGATAAATTATTTCCCGAAAAACATTCATTTCAGATGGAGGGCTAGCATCAACTGAGAGTATTTGCCCAGTCGAGTTGGGGGTAGGGATAGGTCAGATGTCGATGGGGGCCAGTTGAACAGAGCCTTGAAGTGTTCAGCCCATCGATCAAAACGGTGTTGTTGATCGTGAATCAATGTGCCATCGGTTTCGTTAATTACCTCACTTACGTTTAGCTTACTGGGGCCCGTATTCCAAATTAGACGGAAAAGGTTGCGACTACTACCAATAGCCGCAGCTTTCTCCATCTGTTTACACATTTCCACCCACCACTTTTCGCGGTGATTCCTCAGACTCTTGATGAGCTCGTATTTAAAGGATTTCCGCGTTATGTCATATGTGGCATCGGAAGGAGGGGTTATGCTGGAGTTCAGCAGGGCAGCCGAGGTCGACGAGATCTATCGTTTCTGTTTTGAGCCTGCTCCAGGGTCCGCCGTTGTTTTTTATCGATATTTGCATAGCTTCCTTGTTTTGCTTCCAATGTTCATCGAGTCATTCAGTTGGTAGTTGAACTGAGAGGCGATCGGACGGCTCCACTTCGAAAGCCGATTTACAACAATCGCTGACATTCTGTCGTGGATATTGGCTGTCGGTGGTCTTTTTGCGGTTGTTTGCCGGGCGTAAGGCCAATTTGGTTGGTAGCAAGGTATGGTGTATCCACAGGTGTTGACAGTAAGAACACCAATCTTGAATCGATCCCCTCCAAAGGCAACTGACGGCGATGTGGTCGATTTGGGTCCAGTACCCTAAGTGGTCTTGTTCATTTTTACGGTTGAAAGAAACAGCCAACCGCGTATTATTTTGCATACTACTCACAAACGTGAGTAGTGGAAATTCTGCGTAACTCTCAGTGAGAGCTGAAACCGCGCCCCTAAGTTGGATCCTAGTCAACAATAGGTTGTGCGCTGTGAGACTCAGAGATTGGTGCAAAGTAAACAGTTATCAATCCGATAAACGAAACTTCTATGTCATATCGGCGTACGCCCTAACGGACTAAAGCCCAGATGCAGTCATAGATGGACTTTACTAGAAACTACACGACCTTTCGCGTGAAGCGAGCCGGGCTGATATTGTGATTTTAGCAGGAGAAATGAATGTTAGTGTAGGTCGGCTGACTTCAAGTGAGGCGCATCTGGGAGGTATTTTGCCCGTAAATCAGTGATATATATACATATATACATATTAACATGTGTATGTATTAACATTCTGTGGTATGAGCTATACGAACTGGTAACTACATGGAATTTTTATTATCTTCATTTATCAGCCGTGCACATCACGCGAGTATGTGATATTACGAACCCGGAATTACACACCTACATGGATTGCATAACATTGGGGGTTACGGGCGTGCTGACGTTGGAATTTTGCTCCCAGAATAGGTGAACAGCAATTACAAACAAATGTTCTAGACCTTAATCATCTCGACTTTTAAGCAAGCCGCGTTAGCGGTTTCTTCATCTACTTTACGGAGGACATTTTTAGTGTATAAGCCATTGACGTATGTTATACAAATGTTCGGCAGATTGGTACCAGTTTCAGAGAGGAGAGGTTATTTAAATGAACTCAATGAGCAGTTCAACATATTGTGAAGTAATGTAAACAAAGAAAATAACTCGGTAAATACGTTCTATATTTTGAGGCAGTCAGAAGTAGACAAGAGCTGAAAAGTATAATAAGCGAAACAAAGTGCTCCACACTTCAGGCAGGAATCCACACGCCAATTGTTATCGCATAGAGTAAAAATACCCACAAGAAATAGCACATATCAACCAACAATCTTACCAATTGGAAGGAGGCGTTTTATGCAGGCCACCGTCAGACTGCTGTGTAATGCACCCTTGGTTCGTTTACCTGTAATAGAAACAACGAATACATGTGTGAAATACCAATTTGAAAAATAAAATAAGGTTGAAGCGAAAACCCAATAAGTACACGGTACCAGAATTCATTTAAATTCAATTCCACACTTACTGGGCTTGACAGAGCTTGTGTCCGCACGACCATTTACTGATGGTCGACTTCGGCTGCTAGTGACAGAGCTTCCGCCGCTGGGCACAATCAAGGATAAATGATCAATCTCGTGTGCACTAACAAAGTTTTCCTCTTCGCGTTTAAATTTCTAAAATTTGAGATGGAATGAAAAGTTATGCTTCACATGGATTAGGCAGTTCATCTTTTGGTAACCCATGACTGATGATGATAAATAAGGATATACTACAGATAAGAATTATTCAACACTTATATCTGAGCATTTTCAGTGATGCAATGATTGGGTTAATGTCAAATAAGATGATCATAATTTGTAGGTACCTGTTAGATAAAATACATATTATATATTTAACACCGGCTTGCGGAAAAACATGGTACCAAATCCACGACAATAATAATAATAACAATAGTGGGTTAATTGTTTCAGCGCCTCGAATATTGGACTATAAAGCACTACCAGTAATAAAGTATAGATAATATAAATAAGTGATTGCCTGATAAAAGCTAAGCTGAATCATTTAAGTGTGAAACGGTAATTATCATTTATTCACGATGTATGTCATATAGCTTACGGAGGCCCTGGTCCAAACCAAGAACATTCGAGCCACAGCGGTGAATAAACGTTGCGTCTCTTGAGTAGGATGTTTCAACCAAGCAGATCGATGCCGATCGACAAATTTTATCAGTAGTGGATAGAACGCAAACAGATTCCGTACAAGCACCTCTACAAGGGTACTCAGTTCCTCTTCACGCTCGCTCACCGTTTCCGAACCTAGAAGATAAACGTTTATTTCAGAGTTGAGTGAATTCAGTCCATTAGCTTTACAATGAAAACTGTCTTACGTAATGCATCAAAGTACTAACTACTAAAAATTGGATATACATTATTAATCTGCCAATTGACTTATTAAATTACGTGAACTATAGAAAAATGAGTGCAATCGGAATAGCTCATGAGATTTATCTTTTGCTTCTAACCACTTTGGCGTTAGCAAATAAAAGTGGTGTTATATTGACCATTAAAGTTTCTTAAAAACGATTGCAATGTTAATTAAAAGTTCTGGTATGTTATATAATATCAGAAAGGAAGAACAGTGAAAGAAAATTGCTCTGTAATGGTGTCTCGGTAGAGTAAACGAGGATAATGGAAGCCGAGAAGTTGACGAAACAAAGCTTAAAATCTTAGATAAATAAAAACTGGAATAAACCTTTCGGAAGGATAATCACCTGTTATCCCGCGTGATACGACGGAACATAGTAGTGCAAGCCTCATCGACTCCCGAATCAATCAAAACGTATTTAATACCAGAAACATATCTGAAAGTCTGTGTGCGCTGAAAAACAGCAACATGTTTCACTGCACAATTTTAGTCAGCAAAATCAGAATCCTGCTAGTTAGGTACAAATCAAGCATAACTCCAGCTGATCGCTTGAATTCGAGCAAAAAATTGCACAAACCAAATGACGTGTTTAAAATCCCATAAATATGTGGTCGAAGCAGAAAAAAGCTTGGAGGGTAGTTTCACTACTGTCTGGTTGACCGTAGTTAGCAATGAAATCCTCCAAACTGTGTGGCATAATGTCGATAACACTTAAAATTTCCTCGCAAATTTTTTTTCAAACGGCTTGCAAGCACTGTCCTGAGTTCCGGAAGATTTCCCCGTCTTCAAGCTGCTCATGTAGTATCTTTTAGCATTTTACTTAGTCAAGGTTTGGTGTATGAACACTAGGTTATTCTTCATATCAAACCGATTTTCTCTGCACTGTGACAAAATCCGCGATATCTTGCAATGCCAATATACTCATTGCGTTTGTGCGTAGATGTCATTTTGATTTCCACATTCGTATCGATGAAAGTTCTGAATCGGGAAGGGGTAAATTCCCGTTTTACCGATATAGTTGCCAAGTGGTTCCCCCAGAGATATCCAACATCGATATATTCTTTTTTGTAATCTTCCTCACATTACGGAATGTCGGCAACTGCCATCGAGATGTTGGCATGTATTTTTTCTGTGTATTGTGCTATCTATCACGCGAACACAGTTTGTGGAGTGCTTTCCGAATCAAAACAAAGAATTTCACGATTTTCAAATGCCAACAGGCAAGCAAATAAATTGCTGCCCAATCGTGTTTATCAAGACCTTCGAAGTGCATAGCTCCTGCCTTCGAAAAGTCTGAGTTGTAGGAAGATTAAAAATATCAACATTAAGTTGCATGAGTTCAAATCAATATGGTTCATCGGCTTTCAAAGCGTCTCTTGCAATTACTGCGCACGAAGTGCTTTTGACGCACCTCAATTTTTCGACAACTTCTAGTAAATGCCCACACATGGCATCATGAAAGTTCGTGAGATAATGTATTGCCCTATCACCTTATAATGCCCAAATAAAGCTTTTATCCTTTGAAAAAAGCACTGATTCCCTTCACAATAATGTACCTCAAGGATAAGAACGCTTCCGGCGAACTCCATTACCGAATGATTGACAAACAGACAGTGATCAAATGGGACGACTTTTCCGAGCATAAATGAAGGAAACCCATTCCACCATACTTATAAGGAGATTCTGAATGGTCTTAATTCAAATTTTACTTCCTTCAGGGAAGACATTACGCACTGAAGAATAATCTTGCACAGGCACTCATTCCACGGGCAAACCTGAAGCAGTTTTAATGACATTCAAAGAATGACTGAGTCCGTAAATGAATTTGCCGGCAACGGACATTGTACTGCCGCTAGTGGTGACAGTTTTGCTGGGGAAAAAGGGCCCCTACCGATCTCCGACAATTGTAGCAAGAAAGATGTCGTTCAAAGTTTTGATGCAGAAATCAGCTGTTTGCTTTCTTTCAAGAATCTCTGGTAGCGATTTGCTGAAATAGCATAGGTTACTACGGAGGGTTGGTGGCCGAATGTAAGCTCATTCTTCGTGACGTCATGCCACAATTACATTGGTTTGTTGAGAATGTCCATGTCTAACTTTTTCTTCACCAAATATCACAGTAATACATTCAGGATTACATGAACTATGACCTTTTGCCCAATCGACTCCATCTGTAATATGGTATTCAGTAATCCAGGGTACTGTTTGCCCCTTTTTATATCTAAGCTACATGGGTCCTTACTTTAAATGGCGAACACATCCGCTTGAATGGATATCTGAAACTTTGAGGCACCAATTATTTCGTTGTGTGAGGCAACTATAAGCTGTCTCATGGTTGCATGAGAGTTTTCTTCGTATTCCACATACTTTCTGAGAACAATAACCACTTGGAACTATTAAAGCGGTTTATATAGCTTACGTGATTAGTCAATTCACTTGGCAATCTTGCTCATACTTTGAGTCTATGCGAAGAACTACTACTTCTCCCTGAAAGAATTCAGATAGCATGCGATCGTGTGATATTCTTCTGTCTCCGTTGGTGGAGGGTTTCTACTCGCAATTTCATTTAATTGACTTCATGAACTTCATTCACAAACTACTTGTGATAAAAAATTAACTCAATGGCAACATGAACAGTGCTTCATGCATTGGCTGTATCTGTGATTCATGAAGTCGAACCGTTAACTTATGGTGGACACTTTTAGATTAATGTTCGTGAGGAACGTTAAAAGGACATTGAATTGACATAAAAACCACTTAGCTGATCAAACGTTTAAATCAGTATATTACCGCAAGGTGACCAGAAAGAATAAATGTACATCAAATTTAGTTATTCTACATACAGGCGTTTGCGAGAAAGTCTAGAAGAAGTGGGGCTGCATAAATCATTTTGTGTATTATGCGTTCGTCTAAAAAATCGAGAGATGAAACATGTTAGATAAATTTCTATGAGATAAATATTATTGTTCATATTTGACGTCTACATTAATGATAAATATTAAATTCAATGGTGAACAAAAGTGCACACGTATAGATTGTGATCCGAGAATATTCCAGGGTCATAAACTGCTCTCCGAGCAGTTATTACACCATCTGGGCCTTCAAAGGCAACAATAAATGGCATTATTGTTTGCTTTCTTATTCATCCGTACACTTATCCGCCATAATTTGCAATGGGTTCCCTGATCTTCCACGTGGATCAAACTCCTTAACTCATTCACTACTCGACAGTGTCACAAATCGATCAAATGAGAATGGCAGTTCCCAGAAACAATACTCTTAGAAGAAAATTTGCTTACCGGATCGTTTCTCAGCTTTAAAAAGTTCTTCAACCTTTTCAACCACCAACGCATGCTCCAAAAGACGTTCCGACACAGGCAAAAAGTATTGTCCAAGCATTTCCGTCGTTGAATTCGCCACAATTGGTTGTGTTCGAGCTTAAGGAGAAGCAAGACGAAGAAATATTTTGAATCAGTGATTAAACCAAGATACGAATAAACAAACTAGTAAAACAATTTTCTGTCCACTGTTATAGGAATACCATGAAACAGTGTTATCCATCGATAGTAGGAATCAATGCACTATATGGAAGAAAGCTCCGTTTGATGAAGAGCGGAAGGTCAAGGTATGGACTGATGAAAGCCCATCACGTGTTATAACTAATATCCGGGACAAAGATGAGTCTACTAGCCATCGATAGTGATAAAAGATTGCCTATTATTCGCTATCACTGGTAGCACCTTCGTTTTGTTACTTTAACGACCATGTTTTAGGTATCGTGTAAGTGACTATTCGAAAACTTGGTTGGGTGAACATTCATTTTTAATTGTATTTTGAAGCACACTTTCAGAAAAATGAGTGTACAGAATCTTCATCCGACTAAGAGCAAACTAAAATTGAAACGAATCAGTACCCTTACTTCTATCTTGTTATAAACGACGTTTCACAACAAAAAGTTGATTCGCAATTATCTGATTGAGCTTATATTGCGATTGAAATTGTTTGACACATGATTCAACCCACTACCGAAGATTCCCTCAACCGAAAAGTTTACCCATAACTGTATTTTGCCTGGTTTTGTGCATAATTCATTTTTAAATCAACCCACTTAATAAAGGTCACCTAGTATTACAAATTACAATCAAATAAGATATTCAGGGGAAAATCTTGCTACAGAACTTTTGAATCACGGAAGATTTTGACCATCTGGGAACCAAGAGCGGCACACGAAAATTGAATTTTAGTGACTACATAAACTAAAGTAAGCTTCCTTGGAGGTCTAATAAACCGAAGCTTGAGCCTGGTGGTTATGAATACGTCAGAAGTAGTTGAAGTAGCGAAAAGCTTAAAACGTATATGGAGCAAAAGGAAACTGAAGAATACTGTTGAAGCAAGAAACATCAATGTAAGGAACACTTCAAAACATGTGAAAAAAACGGCAAAACAATCTCATCAAAACATCTGTATACTTTTTCTACAGCTGGCAAAAGGAATTTCTCGTACTTCTGAATCAATATCCACTACCTTAAAGGACACTTGACGCTGGTAGACATTTTATCTCTGCAAAGGTTATATTCTATAAAATAATATGAATAGCTTTCCTTGGATGGCAAGATATCGTGAGCTTCACCATTATATGCTATGATTAGCTCCATCTAAATGCAAACCAAGCTCTGAGTGATCAGTTGGGTTTCTAACCTTTATTCATCAGTATGGTCCAACACTGCGCCATGATGGAAAAATGTCTAAACAATGAGAAAAATCTGAGTATAGGTATGCAAGCAAGGAAGAACATATAACGTTTTCATACTTCTGTCGCATACATCTCTTCCGGGGGGTATCACCACAGACAGTTAAGAAAATTTTATTACCCCGTCGGGGAAGATTTATTGAAGCTCGCAGAATTGTACACACAACATATAATGGCCTTTCTAGCACTGAAGTTGAAAAAATCTTCACCAGCGACAGGAGTAAACAAGATATTGCTTGAAAAATAAGCAATGTGCATTTTCAAGTCGCAATGAGACAAGCAAACTAAAGAAGGGTCACTACATATTTTCCCCTTCAAGGTTTAGCCAAAACCCGCAATGTTTCAGCCTCGCCCTGAAATTCTTTAGCCTTCACCAACAATCCTTTCACCTAAACCCGCGTTAGCCTCTACCCGTAATCTTTCAACCTCGACGAACAACCTTTGGACGCACCGTTGTATGTGAGTCAGATCAAAAAGTATCGACATATGCTGACGTCAACGAATGGTAAAATATCTAATTTTCTACAAATGTTGATGCTGCAAAGCTTGATTAAGTAATGAGGTCCAGTGGTATATCACATATTATTTGGAGAGGGTTCAAACGATGTCCCTGTATCGTCAAACCATTTGACATATCTCGTACAGCTTCAGTGTTTCCGTATAACATGTGATACTTCGGTGAGTAAAAACCTCCATTATAACACAAACGGTATATTGTTTTGCATTCACAAGCCCTGTCATGGATCAAAAATTGATAAAATAAAAAAAGGAAACCTGCGGTGCCTAAAGTGCACTCCGTTTATGAAAGGTGGATACATTATCAGTTCAAGGATTATGAACACCGTTCACAAAAGACAGACTTTAGTACATCTTTTCTCATCAAGCTTTACACAAAGCCCGTAATCTTTGAGGGTCGACCGTCGTAATTGTCAAATGTTGCAACTTTAATAACTGATGATAGTGATGGAGGTATATTCTTGTGTACAGTGTTTATTATCTTGAGCTTACTAGTGTTTCCAACTCCGAAGAACGAAATTCATTTTAAGTGGAGATATGGAGCAATAAGAAATCATTTTTTGGTATCACTTTTGACTTTTTTCAGGGCTTGTGAATGTAAAACAATATACTGTTTGTATTACGTTTTAGATTTTTACTCGCAGGAGTAGCGCATTTTAGAGTTCCCTTGCAGTACCGTTATGCGGCGTTCAATTCATCGGGAAAAGGGGATAAAACACACCACAATAGGTGGAAGTAATAGTTGTTATACCTTACTCTCCGTTATGCGCATCAGCAATATGGAGGATGCTAAATCGGATGGACAGGAAAGGATCTATTGCTTCACAAACGAGGGAGATCGACGGAGAGTACATGAATGTGCATGCAGAGGTAATGATTTGAAAGAAATTGCCAAACACTTCGGCATTATTATCAAAGCGTCGTGTTATTGCAGCCACGGATTGAAAGCTAACACTCAAACCTGGATCTTACCGCGAGTTATCGACGAGAACCCTACAACCACATTGAAGACAGCAAAGGATTGCTGGATGGACATCCCTATTCGGTTAAGAAGGTAACTGAAGTACTACGGGTCGAGGTTAAAACGTTATCGGAAAAGATGTAAATACTTCTTTGGAATATTACCAATAAATACAGTGTGGTTGAATTAGGGTCTTAATGGGATCATATTTTAAAAAAGTCTCAAAATACAGAGATATCTCTGAACTTCTTCAGAGAAAAGGAGGTGGATACAATTGATGAAGCCTTGGACTAGTTGATATTAGTTTTCAATCTGGCAAAATGACAATAAACTGCCAATATATGTTTTACGCGGTCAAAAAAAGTCGTAGGGGGAACATTTCAGGATATACCATGTTTAAGAGCAGACTCTGGTTCCGTCATCTACTGCTGTCCGTTGTAACTGTTTATTTATATCAATATATCAATATATATATTTATATAAACAAATATTCATATTCGCCATTATGATCATGTACACTTCGATCGACACGGTTGAAAACCGTGAAGCTGAACTGTAACTGAAGAAATCGCCATATATATATTCATTTTAGAACGTAAACCTTAGGTAAACATTGGAGACCTTCTTAGTATGGTCCTTTACAAAACACGAATCAAATCCAAGTGTCAATAATCCCCAATACTCACTTGCGATTCGGGTCATCCATGGTGCGTGCGGTGAATCTATGTTGTTTTGAATCAATTGCAACACACTACCCAACACTCGGTTCATCAGATCGGCCGTAACCCGGGTCAATGGAGCATCCGGCGATAACTGTCGATCTATTTTACTGCTCATTTCTTCTTCAGTGTGTGTTGAACGGGGTTCACGACCATCGCGTGGAGCACGGGTCAATTCCTCTACCGTGGCTTCCGGTCTCCTGCACTCCGGTCCCTTACGCCACCATGTTGGTAAGTAGGAACAGAGCATGGGTAGAGTAACCTCGATTAAATGTGGTGCTTCTGCCGCGCCTGCTACACCAGAATCGGCCAAGAGTTCGACTTGTTGAATAATATCATGTAATCCGGTTAGTGTCTTTGACAGTTCAAATAGTACGTCTGGACAGCCGAGAGAAAAAAGATTTATTTGAAAGGTCATCACAAGCATGAGTTTCTTATTTTAGCTTCTTAAGCAAATTCAGATAATCAAAAGCTTTGAGTTTTCTCCCATCATCTATCTAAAGACTGGAAAAGAAAATATTTTGGTATTGAAAACAAGTTTCTCAAATGTGATACCAAATACTGTGTAAGCGTTCTGACCTACCTCTTGCTTCTAGACTATAATCACCTCCTTCATTATTATAAGTGATTGATCGGGGATTGTTTCGGTTCAAATCCG